GTCATGATCCCGGGGTCCTAGGATTGAGCCCCATGTTACGCTCCTTGCTCAGGGGAGAGTCTGCTTCTCCCTCCCCCTTCCTTCCCCACTGGTGTTCTCTCTTGCTCTCAAAAAAGTAAAATCTTAAGAAAAAACAAAAAGGAATTAGGTTGGGACAGGAAGCATAGCCTGGGGCAGACACAGAATCTGATCACTACCTGTAAGTCTAACATATAGCCTTGTCCATAAGAGATGCTCAACAGATGGTACTGATTGAAAAAGGAAAATACTTGGAGATGACAACAGGTAGATCCCCAGACCCCATCTTCGGTAGGTCTGGGGTTGGTTGACTCAGGGGTCAATCAGCATTTGTCACACATTACTGGTGGCTCACAGTCCTGTGGACCACACCTAAGGTACTGGTTGGAGAGTCCTGGCCCCTCATCCTGGCATCCAGAGCTCTCAACCCTGCACCACTTGCCTTAGCCCACTGTGTCACTGTCCCTTCAATATACCATACACTGCCACCCCCACGACCTCCACGCCTTGCTGTTACCTCTTGCCTGGCATTGTCTCCATGCTTGCTTCAAATCCTCCCACTGTGCTTTGCTGTGGCCAGCAGACCTGTCGGGGCCCAAAGGAAGAAGACCCAACCCGCTCCCCAGAATGCATCAATGTCACAGCTGAGAATTCACCACCAAGAATCAGAGGACTTTCAGTTCAAAGGTGTCGTGGCCCTATCTGAATCTCAGTTTTCTCATTAACAGTATTAGGGGAGGGCCACTACCCACTTGATAGGATTAAACATGTTACTTAAAACAGAAAGGGGTTTATTTTTGTTCCCTGTTTCAACCCCGCATGGCTCTGGCCCACAGTGCTCAGTGCTCACAGTCTGAGGCCTGCTGCACACTGTTGGGACCTTGGCAATAGCTCAGCCACAGAGCCAAGAGAGTTATTGGGGGTTAGGAGGATACTGCATTCACCCTTGGACCCCTGGGGGCAGCACCGCCCACCCTTGCTCTCATCTTGACCTTTGCCCTCAAAGGCAATCAGCAGCAGTGGCTGGGGAAGGTTGATGGGTTGACCAGGTGGACAGGGAGAGACAGCAGGAAGGGGCTGGAAGACAAGGCCAATCTCATGTTTGATCATCATTGCAGAGCCACCGTGGCTGCTCCAGCTCAGAGACCCACCTGACCTGGGCCCGGGTCAGTGGCTTGGAGCAGGTGGGGGAGCCGAGGCTCTCCTGAGACCACACCCCCGTTCTACATGGGTTCAAGCTGGCATCAAAGGCTGTTGCTGCATCTTTGACTTCCTATTTTTAAATAAAACTTAGGCTCAAAAAAGAAAAAGGTACTCGTCTAACCCAGATTAGTAACAAGACGAGCAAGCCTGGTCGCCAGCTCACCCATAGACACTTGCGAGCCAGCAGGCTCTCCGAGTCGGAACCTCTTCCACTTTGTTGACAAACACATGTTGCAAGATTGGAAATTACCGTCCTTGGTGCTTATTTTATCTCTGTTTAATTGCTGTTTGATAATAAATTACAACACAGAGTCCATTAATTAAGCTAACAATGTCCGCGGAACACCAATTCCTTCTTCTGGGAGTTGCCCTGTTCCAGGAGCTTTGATTCAGAAGCTGTCTGCCCACAGCACTTTGCGAGGTGGTTTTAAAAGATGCCAAGGCACGTGATCAGCAGGGAACCCACTCGCAGTGCGGAGGGAGCGGCTCTGGAAGGAGGGGGAGGAAAGCTTGGTGAGCCAGGGTTGGGGGCGGCCTGGCAGCAGGAGAGCAGTACGAAGGGTGTCTTCTTAATCCAGTACAGGTGGTCAAACACCACTAGACTTATTTCCAAAAACCAGCTGATGGGAAGCAACCATGGGCCACTCATAGGTATTCATCCGAGATGTGCGGGCAGCGATGAGCAGCCTACTTCGGTTTGCCAGTTCGTAAGCAACTAAATGGCAGGAGTGTTCATTTGGAAAAGCTCTGCATGCGGGTGGAACCGGTGCACGATCAACTCTAGCCATTTCCCACCAGAGGCACCGGTATTATGCTGTGTAAGCCACCGAGGAGAGGGGAGCTCGCTGGCTGGCTCCGGAGTGGGCAGGGGGCTAACCAGTGGCCATCTGCAGCCCGGGAGATGGGCCACCTGGGCGTTCCTGCCTGACCTGTCTAGCAGGTGAATGGTGGGACTCTGAGGCAGGAGACACAAGAGGAAGGGAGGCTCTGGACAGAAGGGTGAGGAAGGTCAAGTTCACAGGGGTCTGTCCTAGAGCTGGGAGCATCACAAGGGCATTAGATTTGTTCTGAGTGGCCAGGGCAGAAGGAGAGGGCCCTGGGGGAGGTGGTCACAGGGCCACAGAAGGCAGATGGAAGCACCTCAATATCCTTGGGTTCAGCTAAGAACTTCCCGGGTGGCTTAGAAAGCCTTCCCTGGACTCACCTAGGTACAAAGCCACTGCTTGAGCCATATGGGGGAAGCCCTCATATATCCAGGAGACGTTTATTAGACCACATTTACTCCTTTTCCCATTCCCAGAGGTGGGCTTCACAGGCCAGTTTCTGATTATGCAGATATCCAAATGCGAGAGAGCCTATCACCCCACAGTTAGGAGGCACTTAGTCCAAATGTAACCTATTCGGAAGACTGGATGGAGAAACCTGGGAGTGAGTGTTCTTCTAACAGCCACTCCTCACATCTCCCCGAACAACGGTCACATACGGGAATATGGCTCTGAAGCGGACGTCTCCAAGGTGTAGTATCCAGGCTCCTGCTGCCCTCCTGGCACCATACTACCCTGTCCCCATGTCCCCTCCCAGCCAGCTCCCCCCACACCAGTTGGGCTGGATTGCCAGCTTGTCATCTGGCCTATCCCAAGATGTAGACTTCTAAATGTCTGCCTTGACCACCCCCCGTAAGCCACGGCTCCCCACCTCCATTTCCCAGGTCACCGGGGCTTCCAGGGTCCTTGTCACCCCCAGACTCTGTGATGGAAAAGCTGGAGAGTCAGCAGGGGCACAAGGCCGGGTGTTTCCATTGCATCCACCCCTCTCTGAACTCCTCCAGGAGTTTAAGCCCAATCCGAGCACATCATCCCATCCCCGGTGGTATTCTACTGACCCTGAGGCAAGTCCCAAACTTCTCAGGGCAGCATCACTGCTTTGTCTGGGAACTTGCTGGAAATGCAACATCTCAGCTCCCACCAGGCCCCCTGCCTCAAAAGCTCTGGGGGTGGGGCCCAGAAGCATGCCCTATCAGGCCGTGGGAGATCTATCTCTCCATCCCCTTCGGCTTCCTCTTCCCTCCTTCCCTCCCCACCCCCCTTCTGTGCCCCGGCCCCCTGGGCCACCCTGCTCTTTCCACACTCACTATGCTGTAGCTTTCCCTGCCTCTTTCCTTGTCTCTTCCCTCAAGTGCAAACCATCTGAGAACAGGGGCTATATCTTATCCACTGCCACATACACTTGTGTCTGGCATCTGCAGTAAGTGATCAAGAAATAACTCACTGAGTGAATGAATCCATGAATAGAGACACTCCCTGGATTCGTTAGTCCCTATTGCCTTTAGGGTCAATGCCCCACTTCCCCGTGGAGGCCCATCAGGAAGTGAACCAGGTCTAGGCTTCCCAGTCTTTCTCTTGCTCCCCATGGGCACTTTTAGCCAACTGTGGGTGGTAGGGCTCAGTAAATCATCTTGAGGTGCATGGGTTGGGCTTGAATTTAAAGCACTTTGGTCATGCTGGAGGGCCTGGATTCTAATCTCCTTTGCTCACAGGCATTTGCTTCTCTGTGCCTCAGTTTCCCTATGCTGCCTGTCTACCTCCCAGAAGGGCTGCAGGGACCAAAGGACTCAGGATTTGACCCTTCCCATTATCTGTCTTCAGAAGACCTGTCATACACTGAGGGAGGCTGAGAGTCACTCTCAGAATCATCTGCTGTGATAGTAGAAAGAATACAGTTCTCTTCTTAGGTACTGGCTTAATGGGAAGCAAAAGTACCACAAGTGGGTAAAGCGCATGAGCCTTTAGGAGGGCATGTGTGAGTGTATATGCATGACTGGTGAGTGTGAATTGGATGTGTGTGTTCACAGAAATGAGCAAGACCAAGGGAGCTTAGAGGGCATTTTGTCCAATGTCTTCCTTTTACAGACGAACAGACTGAGACCCAGAGTGAGAACTGTGAGTCTGATTTAGCATCACCTGTCTGGTGCTCCTCTGGGAATGAATTACGAATATCTTCCCCATCTGTCACCAGTCTTTTATTACTATTAGTTGACATAAAAAAATGTTTTCAATTTTTTATGAATGTCAAGTCTAATGACATTTTTTGGATATATTTTCTCCCAATCTGAGAGAATTTCTGCTAAGCTCTTTACGAGTGCACACACACGCACACAAACCTTGGGTTAGCATGAAATTGCCAAAGAAAATTCATTCACTGGGCTGTATTTTTAAAACTTTGTTGGTTGGTCATTTTCCCTTTTTGAATTATCTTGTGTGCTTTTCTGAGATACCGGAGAACACATGTGTTCTCTGAAATGTTACAGCAATCATACTCCTCCTTCAGAGTCAGCAGTTGGCTCTTGTATCAACGCTTACAGACCTGGTCATACTTACCACCCACCTGCTGGTGGCCTTTCAGGATGAACAAATCAAGCATGTTCTCATGAGGAAATCTGCTATTTCTCTGAAGTTGTAGGCAGGCATATTTGGTTCTAATTACAATGTAAGTACATGTAGTATATAGCACCTATTTGCAAATGACTCCACAATTTATTCACTTTCTCTCTTCAGTGTGAAATGTGCCCATTGCTCCTCTTAACATCTGTGCTGAGGCAAACACTCATGAATATTTCCCTAAGTGCCATGTGGAACAACTGGAAAGCCCCTCACCTTCTCCTTAAAATTTCAGAACACATAATAGCTACAGATAGGGGACAACAGACATTATGGGAAGTCCCACAAATCCTTGGGGGACCTGGTGATTTGACTCCCTTCTGGTCAGAAATGGGCTCCTACCTGGGGTCCCCAGCCATGGCACGGGTACAGTATTGCTGTGTGGTTCTCCAGCGGCCCTTGGTCCAAGCAGACGTCTTTTGCCTTGTTGTTTCGAAGCTGCAGGAATAAGCAAAACATCACCTGTCAGAGCTCATGTGGCAGAATTTCTGCCCAGCCCTTGTTGCCCAGGCCTTGGCTCCAACTTCTCAAGGTAAAGGCCGCATGACCCCTCCCCAAGTAAGGACCAAGGCCCAAATCTGTGAGGTTATCATTTTAGCAAGAAAAACCAAGTCACGGCGTGGGCACCAGCCCTCTGTCTGGGGCACCTCTCGCCCTTGCTTACACACAGCTCCTCCATCCCCAGTACAAAAGAGGAGCTCAGGGAACGTTGGGACGTAGGAATACTAGTCACCCACTGGTTATCCAAAGCGGACCTTTTGCTTTTGTGTGACCAGACTGTGTCTAGGTTCAGAAAACGGAGCAGAGTTTTTATGCTGTTTTTTTTTAAAGATTACAAAAATAATACCATCTTATTGAGATATCTTGACAAATGTAGAAGAAAGTGACACTTGTTCACAATCCTTTCTGACAATCAGTTAATTTTTCCCAATTTTGAGACAATTTAGTTTTGTTCAATTTTGTTATTTTTTTAATATTTTATTTATTTATTCATGAGAGACACAGAGACAGAGGGAGAGAGGCAGAGGGAGAAGCAGGCTCCATGCAGGGAGCCCGAGGTGGGACTCAATCCCCGGTCTCCAGGATCAGGCCCTAGGATGAAGGTGGTACTAAACTTCTGATCCACCTGGGCTACCCAGTTTTGTTCAATTTTGACAGTAGTGAGAAACTTTGCACATAAAGCTTTGTTCTCATTACAGGTTTTCTTATGAACATGATCTGAGAACTCAGATAACAGGAGCAAAAGGTATGGATCCCTTATTGTCCTTAAAATATGCTGTCTGATGCCTTTCTGGAAGCTTTGACCTAATTTCTATTCTGATCCACAAGATCTGTAAATACTTAAGAGTCTTGAATTTCACCATTCAAAAATATTTTGTTAGTCGAAGTGTACAAACTCCCAAAGCTAGATTCTGGGGAATCTAACATGCAGCATGGTGATTATAGCCAATATTAAGTACATGAAAATTGCTAAGTGGAGAGATCATCTTAAATGTTCTTAGCATTAAAAAAAAGGTATGGTAATTTTAGGATGTAATGGAGGTATTAGCTAACTGTATAGCAGTGATCATTTTGCAGTATGGAAGTGTATCAAACTAACACGTTAGACACCTTAAGTTTATAGAATGTTATATGTCAGTTATCTCTCAGTAAAGCTGGAGAAGAAAGCAAAAGAACACTGCTCAGAAGAAAAACTCTAACAGAGTTAGAGTGGGGTATTGTTTTAAACCCAAGTTACCAAAAATCTGTACAGAGGAGTAGAAGCAATGAATCAGACGTGTTGCACAAACTGTCCCAAGCAAGTGATCTCCAAAGAATTGCAAAGCCACCTTAGGAGCCCCACACCATATTTTAGTTCTCTCTTAGATACTTTGAGGAACCGCTCATTGTCAATGCTCTCAATTATGAAAAGGATAAATTATATGGAAAAACCTAGACACCTTCTTGGTCAAAAAATAATTCAGAAGAGTTAAAATGTTGAAAACAATTAAATCTTAGAAATACCTCTACCAATGTACTTTTTATGTCTCCACAAGAGCAACATGATAAAATGTGCCTAATGAAGTCTAATGAAGCTTTCAAAAAAAAGTATAAGATAAAAATTACAGGTAATAAAAAATATTGTGTTGAGAGATGAAGAAAGACATCTTGCTCTTATGAATTTACAATTAATAGTAAATTGGAATGTTTCATGTTTAGCAATTATTTCCCTTTTTGAGAATTATCTGTTTATCTCTCCATTGGGATCTCAAGTGGTTTTATTGCAGATTTATAAGAGCTCTTTATATATTAAGGATATTTTTATGGCATATTTGTTCCATATAATGATTTCAGAATGTTAGCATTTAAATTTTGTTTTTAATGTTTATACAAATAAATCTATTATTCAGGAACTTAATAACTATTTATGAAGGACCTGCTATGTGCCTGGGACTGTGCTAAGTTTAGTGAATGTAAAGATAAACAAAACCGTCTTTGCCCCGAAACAATTCATAGTCTGCAGAGATAGACAAAGGAAGAGATAGTGCAATACTGAGTTTTGGCAGGCAGCAAGGAGAACATTCTCACTCCATCTGAGGGTTCAGATATGAAGATGAGGCACTTGTGAGCCAAGGGTCAGTGGAAGTATCGCTAGAAATGTTGTAGTTTTTACCCAGGCAGTAGCTACTTAGGTTTTTGTTTTATATTATTATGTTACACCTGTATGCTTAATGCATATCGTATGTGCATTGTATTCCATATTAATAATGGTAAAAGAAAAAAAGATGAGTAAAACCAAACTAGAGGCAGAGGCACTTTAGGCCACAAGGACAACAGGAGCCAATCACAGAAGTTTCAGCAGAAGCCTTGGTGGTGAATGTTTTTTTGTGCAGTTGCTTTTACAGGTAGGAAAGCAATTATCTCAAACATGGAAGAGTCAGTACATAAAGTATCCACAGGTCTTTCTTTAAAAATTATTTTAAGACATACTGGCTAATGGAGGTAAATAAACATTTAAAAATCAAGGAAAATGAAAGCCAGATAATCCAGTTAAGAAATGGGTAGAAAACACTAATAGACATTTTTCTAAAGAAGACACCCAAATGCTAATAGACACATGAGAAGATGAGCAACTTCACTTCTCACTCTTCATCAGGAAATTCACCACTCTTCATCAAAACCGCAATGAAATATCACCTTGCACCCATCAGAATGGCTAAAATTAATAACAAAAGAACCAAAAAGTGTTAGCAAGGATGTGAAGAAAAGGAAACACTTCTACACTGTTGATGGGAATGCAAACTGATATAGCCACTGTGAAAAACAGTATGGAGTTTCCTCAGAAAGTTAAAAATAGAGCCACCCTATGACCCAACAATTGCACCATTAGGTATTTACCCAAAGATACAAAAATACAGATTCTAAGGGTTACATGCACCCCCATGTTTATAGCAACATTATAAACAATATCATATTTGGGAATTGGTATCTGGAATAAGTTTTGTTTTACCTTTGTATTTTCTATAGAGTGTATGCATTGAATTTATTACTTAAAAGAAATAGATTTGCAAAAACAAAAGTCTCCCCTTCTCCAAAAATCAGACTGCAATCTCCATGTTGACTCCATGACCACACCACTGTTCAGCTCCAGAGACATTATTTACACTGTGCTTCATGTGAATGGCAGGCCCCAGAGCTGTGCAGTGTACAGCCTGTGGAACTGTGCCCTTGCCATCTTCTGAAATTTCCCCATTTTTATTATTTGGTTGTTTTTTTGTTTGTTTTTAAAATATTTTATTTATTCATTAGAGACACACACACGCAGAGAGAGAGAGAGAGAGAGCGAGAAGCAGAGACACAGGCAGAGAGAGAGGCAGGCTCCATGCAGGGAGCCTGATGTGGGACTCAATCCCGGGACTCCAGGATCACGCCCTGGGTTGAAGGCAGGTGCTAAACCGCTGAGCCACCCAGGGATCCCCTACTCTTTGTTTTTTAATACTGTTTTTCTCCTAATCATAATATTATCACATAAACATCAGCAAAAAATGGGAAAACATGACAAAGTACCCCTACAAAGACTGCCTGTCTCACTATTTGGAGGTAACTACAGTCATCATCACCATTTCCCCATTGCTATTTTCCCACTTGATTTCAATCTAAAATAGCAGCCAACTCAATTTTATAATTCTGACTTTTTTTTAAGAGAGGAGAGAGAGAGAGAGAGAGAGAGAGAGAGAGAGAGAGAGAGAGAGAATCCATGTGCTCAAGCAGGCAGGGAGGGGGCAGAGGGAGAGGGAGAGTGAGAATATCAGGCAGATTCCATGCCTAGTGTGGAGCCCAAAGCAGGGCTCGATCTCACAACCCTGAGATGACGACCTGAGTGGAAATCAAGAGTTAGACGCTCAACTGACTGAACGCCCCAGGTGTCCCCTTGACCTTTTCTTCTGAAGAATTATATCAACATTTTTTTCATGTCCTTAAATTTTTGTATACACCTTTTAAAATGGCTGCAAGATATTTCAAACCAGGAAAATGGTATATTTAACTAAACTTCAAATTAGATTAAACATTTTTGGTCCAAAAAAAAGTCACTGAGATGAATAATTACTCTCAAATCTTTGTCCTCATTTCAAATTATTTGCTTCGGATAAGAGTGGAGATGAAAGTGTGACTATCATTAAGCCTTTTAATACATGTGGTTCAAATTGCTTTTTACAAAGCTTGTTTCAATTTACACTCTCACCAGAGGATTTGCGGCTTTTCATATAACCAAGATCTTGCTGGCAGAGGTCCAAACTATGTTCCAAAAATGAATTTTTGTTTATTTGGTAGAAGCAAAGAAGCTACCTCAATGTATTTTAAAATGTATTTTAATTTCTTTGATGATGAAATCCATGAAAATTTTTCATGTGTTTTCCAACCATTTGTATTTTTCTCTTCTACTTGATTTTTCTTTGGGGATGTTTTATTTTCTTATTTAAATTAATTATTAAAATTTAAAACCATTCACAGAGCTCATTATATATTAATTATAGTATCCATTATAATCTATACTATTTATGGTATATATACTTCTACTTTGGCATACTGTTTCTCTATTCAGTTGATATATAGGTTATTTTAATATTTATAAGCTCAGATCCATTATCCATTTCCTTTGCATTTTCTTCCAGGGTTTTCATTCTTAGAAAGCTCTGGCCCTTTCAGAGATCAGATGCACATGCATTTCCGTATGGTTCTGTTACAGTTTCTTTTCTTGCATTTAACGCTATAGTTCATCCGAAATACACTTCAGGATATGTAAGAATCTAAACTGTTTTCTTTTCCAAAGAGCTAGGCAATTCACCCAATTGTCTTACGAATAATCCATTCACTGCTTGTTGTTTCTTGAGGACTCCTTTTGTTTGATCTTACTTTGATAATCAAAAAACCCCAAAACCATGCTTTTGTTTGGAAGAAGAAAAGATAAGGCAGTTTGGACCTGTTAGCAGTTACAGCCGGGTTCCAGATACTGTCCTAAATCTTCCCTACAGCCCTGTGCCATGGATTCAGTCTTAATAGGCCCCTAATCATTATATAGACTGCCCCTACAAGACACATGCTTCCCATCCCAGATTCCAGCTCAGGATGGACACCTCACCCACACCCTGATGGTTTAACCTGGAGCTGATTTACTTCCTATAAAAGGCATCAGGCATAAAGTAGGAAAATATACATTTATAGAAAAAGGAAACACTCTAAGTCAAAGAGAGCCTTCTTAGCTTCCAGCTGGTTGTCACAGAGCAGCTGCAAACAGTTGGTCAAGTCCAAATGCTGGAACTAGCGGGGTATCTCCACTGGATCCGGTGCATCTGGCTGCCTGTGCCCTAACCTGACTCTGTGCCATCGATTCCTCGTCCAAACATACAACTCAAGGAAGCAACAAGGCTTATATACAAGCATGTTCTCAGCAGTGGTGCTTGCGATATTTTAAAAATGGAAACAGCATAAATGTCTATATTTTCAAGTAAAATACAGCATACACAAAGGTATCATAATAGTTACTATAATGCTGCAGAAACGACATCATATAGTTATTATTAATGCTGCAGAAATGACATAGGAAAATACTCTTCATATAACATTTCAAATTATTACACCTGTGGATACCATGGCTTTAGTAATACATAGATACAGAAGTGTTTATAAAAAGAACACATATGTGTGTATATTAAAATATATTTATTTATATTTGTATTATTTATAATACACCTACACAGAGAGTGAAGACCATATATCAAAATGTACGTACTATCTATGAAATTGGAATGCCTACATTCAAGGCTGGCTTCATAGCTTATAGGTTGAGACCTTAGGTAATTTATTTAATTCATCTAAGTTTTAACTTCTTTATCAACAAAATGGAAATAATACTTCTACCTCATAAAGAGAGAGTAGAATGATTTCATACATGAAAAGCACTTAGAATGGTGCCCGGCACATCCTAAGTATTGACTGCTATTATTATTACTAAAATGCATATTTATTTGTAATATGATATAATACAATAATATTTGTAACAAGAGAAAAGTTAATGTGTTCTAATGTTTAGAGAGGCAATGTGTCATCTCATCATAGACAATTTAAGAGCATCTCCCCTTTTGTTGGTGGCAAGTGGCTCTGGCCCCCAGCACTAAGTGATGGACAGCTCCAGTCATTGCCTGTCTTTCTAGCCAACTTCCTGTTCAATGTCTCACTTACAGGTCCCAGGGACCTCAAAATCAAAATGTCCCAAACAGAACTGACCATGCATGCCACATCCCTAGGAAAACAGGCCACCAGAGACTTTGGTCCACGCCTCCACTGTAACATTTATTGCGTTGTCCCCCCCACCAGTTGGTGACAGTCTTGCAGTCAGGTCCTATACCTCCAAAAACCACTCTTGAATGAATGAGTGAGTGAGTGAATGAATGACTCTGTTCTCTATTTTTCCCCATCAAAGCAGTCACCCGGCCTACTGTAAAGCTATCCAAGCTGAGAGCATGTATAGTCTTAATTACCTCCCCGTATGCAATGGTGTTATTGTATCTTCTCATTTCTGGGTAAACGTGGTCCAGGTACCACTGGAAATTCTTACACTTTAAACTTTTCCTTAAGGCTCTTCTTTCGGAGACATCACCTATGTCAATTCCTGGATTCTGAAAGAGGAGGGAAGCAAGGGGCATTAGTGACTGGGGAGCTCTGGCCAGAGGAGAGGACGAGCAGCCTTTGAAGAAACTATCAGAGAGAAACCCCAAGTCCTGCATGCTTGCCGGTTTATAGGGACTCACTTGATCAGAGCCCCAGCTAGACCACTATCCCCTCAGAGCAGATCACAGCCCCCAAAGTCAACCATCCTTATCACTGTGCGAAAGGGAGCCCGGGACATACTGATGTTGACAACCTCTGTTCCCAGCTCTGTCTCTCCTGCATATCCTCAGCAACTCTCAGAGCCAATTATTAGTGGAATTATTTGATTAAGACAAGGAAATAAATGCCTATAACCACCTCCTGTCTTTCTTCTCCATACATGTATGATTTCTCCCTTTGTTGGCGCTTTGTGGAGTTCATTATACACAGAAGTGAAAATAATTTTCCATCGCAAAGCTTGTAATGATGTTCTAATGAATAATTCACTCAGCTTTTACAGAAATGAACCTGTAATGGGCTGCTGTGTGCTGACAGGGGAAAATAAAGTAGCTGAAATATGACTCCACAGACTCCGCCACAAGATGGCCGCGGCTGGGAGGCACCGGATGCTGTCTGTGCCATGGCGGGCAGCCAGGCAGAGTTCACGCTATTTCATCAAGATTTCTTCTTTCAACAGCCAAACGGTGATTTTAAAGGAAAATCTTCTTCAATGTAAGACTTTAAAATTCAATGGCAAAGCTGGACAGTGACATTTTAACTCCTGGTTCTAACGTGGTTGGCATAATGGAAGAGAACGGTCAATTTTCCAAAAGCACGGAGGGTACCACTGGCATTAGGGACGGGAGGTTGTGTGGAAAAAGCGCGGGGACAGAGCCAGCAGCCTTGAACTCTTAGGAATGAGTAATACAGCCAGGAGGTCACAACTCCCCGCCCACAAGGAGGAATCAGTACCGATTGCGCTGATGTCCACAGAGCTGTGGGGCGAGTCGAATCCGGGTGTGAGTTCACATCCCTGCCCTGCCATGTGTTATGGGTAGGACCTTAAGCTAGTCACGTTTAACCTCTCAGAGCTTCAGTTTGCCCATCTGTAAAATGGACATCAGAACAGGTCCATGTCAAGCTAGCATTTATTGATCTCTTAATAGTTGCTATGCTCTGTCCTCAGTGTTAACAATCCCAGTTTTACAGATGATGAAACTGAGGCTGAAAGTTCCTATGTCATGAGGTTGTTATGGGGACTAAATGAGATATTGCAAATAAGGAACTCACCAAGGGTCATGGACATAGTAAGTGTTCAGCAAGTGTTACTTATGTATATATAAATAATCGTGTGTAAAATCACTTCTGGCTCAAGAGCTATAAAGTGCTATACAGCCATAAGGGCACTATCAATGCTTTAGAACATTATTTCAATAACAACAAGATAAAAATTCTTCATTTTTATCCTCTTTATGTATAATTCATGCACATACTCAACTGCATTTCTGCTGCTCTGAGCTCCAGCCTCCTGAAACATAGGGGCTGCCAATTCTCAGTGGGAACAACTCCAGCCGACTCAGGGCACGGCTGAGATACCTACAGGTACTCTGACTGAAGAAATAAACCCAACTATGGGTCAGGGTGTTGGTCACCCCACTGTGCTATATACCTAAGTATATATAATGAGTATTTTAGCACTAGGACTTAACCTGAGTATGCTAGTACTTAGATTGGGTATTTTAATACTTACTACTGATACAAATACTTTGGATTCTCCTGATCATCCTAGGAAGGAGGACTTGATATTATTGCTATTTTTAGGTGAGGAACATAAGGGACAGAGGCAATAAATGGATTTGTTCAAAACTGCAGAACTAGTAAGTGGCAGAGCAGAGGGTCCAACCAAGCTAGTGCACAGCCACTATGTAATGCTCTTACGGGGCTTCAGTAATACAGGAGTTTTCTTAGGTTATACTCTGGACAGAGTATAAAGGAGATTTGAAGAGTCAGATAATAAATAATAGGGGCATATGTCATGGGGCAGCTGGAGGTCCAGGGGAGGGTACAAGGTCAGAGCAAATGACGGAGCTTGTACCAAAACCCTTGGTCGAGAGTCTCCTGCATACAAGGCTGGCCCAGCAGTAGGGCATCTGGATTATTGTAACATGACTGGGACTAATACAAGATCCTTCTACTCTTTGTAAATGGATTTCAAGATTTCTATTGTACCAGTTCCCATGTGAAGGAGGGGTTATAGCACCTGGAGGTCTGTGAATCCCCCTCCAAATGCTCTTATAATTTTGCAGGTGTAAGTATCTGTCTGGGGAGCAACCATCAACTGATTAAAGGGACCAGTGACCCATCACACATAGGATCACTGGTCCAGGGGGACGGGGAAGGGCTGCTGTGCCCTACCTCCAGTGGCAGGTTCCACGCTATGTACACATGAGACTTGTAATCATCCATCCAGACCTCGGCAACCCGGAGAGCATTCCTCTTGGTGTAGAAGCCAATGTTGCTGTTGTAGGGCTTCTTCTTCCGCTCGATGTGGGCCACTCGTGAGCAAGGCAGAACCTCCATGCTGCCCCCGCAGAGCCACACCTGAAGGCACAAGGACTGTATCAGACCAACAGAGAAACTCCTAGAGGCCAGTGTCCCTCCCCAAGGCCCAAAGGCAATATGGTCAGGAAACCTAGCATGAATGAGAAATACATTTTACTGTATTTCAGGGTTGGTCTGTTACTGCACTGTAGACTAACCTAACCTAACCAAAATGTGTCAAAAAAGGCTTGGGGGTGTTTTTACAGATACAATAATTTAGAATATTTTAATGTCCTAAGTTTACTAGTTTACTAGAGCTGTGGGTAACAGAGGCCCCTAAACCTAAGATGCCCCCTGGTGATGCATGGGTTTTCTTAAGTTCTCAGTAGTGAACAATTGGCACCTGTGGAGGTTTTCTTTCCCGCTTGGCTAAAGCTATGCCTTGCAGCCCTAGATGGAAAATTCAAACTGGAAAACAAACCATCTTTATTCACATCAGCACAAAGTGTACAAGGGTGTACTTATGCACTGTTAATATGCTCTATTTCAGAGTCCCAAGAGCACAGATGTCCAGCCTCCTGGAAGCATTTGCCCCAGTGTTATCATGTAAAGGCATCACTTGTGATTGCTGGAATATTCAGGTGGAAGGCTACAATGGCAGTTGCCTTTGAGGGATGCAAAAGCCCAGGGAAGTGACACTTGCCATTCTCTGCATGGGCATGGCAGGCATCCAGGCTCAAAAGGCCCTGCTTGCAGTGGGGGAAAGCTGAACTATCCAACTTCCCTCAGTCCCAGGCAGGAGAAACAAAGCATTTCTGACTGTCAGGAAGGACTCATTTGTGGAAATAAACTTCCTGGTCTTGGTGGGGAGAGAAGACACAAAGAGGTTTCAGGGACCTGTGTTGCTGTCCTGCCACAAGGATCCTGTCCATAATGAGAGTGCACTGGTGAGCTGACCCAGTCAGCACAGACAATGCTGCATGTTCCACCCTGGGATACTTCAAGCCACTCTACCTTTAGTCTCCCAGACCACCCCCCACCCCAGGATGCTGGGACCCTCTTGCAAGTTTGCATACCATCACTGGGTCTTTATTGATTGAATTTGGTGGCAAAATCCAGAAATGTGTTATCTTCTGTTTCTATTTCTACACCATAGGGGGGAATGATACAGAAGGAAATTTCTCCCCATAGCCATGCATCCTCACTTTCAAGGAAGAGACTGTGAGCTAAGAGACTGGTAGACAATGGGAGGTCCAGAGTAGTTTGATTTGGGACCTGACTATTAGGCGCCCCCACGGGTTGGCATGGCCACTGCTGACAGTGGAAGGAAGCCAAGTCAGGGAGGCATATATGGCTAAAGGCCTATGTGGAATAGAGGTAAAGGATCTTGCAGGGCAAAACACGGTGGCTGAATTTCCAAGGGTGGGCAATATTCAAAGATATAGAGTTGCACAGGTATGAGCATTTACTTTCAAGATTCAGGGAATGAATGTAAAGACATCCCATGTTCATGGATTCAAGGACCTAATATTGTTAAGATGGCAATATTTCCCAAATTGATTTAAAGACTCAACACAATCCCCATCAGAACCCCAGATGGCATCTTTGCAGAAATTAACAATCTGATTCTAAAATTCATGTGGAAATATAAAAGACTAAAAAAGAAAAAAAAAGCCCACAAACCTTGAAAAGAACAAGGCTGGAGGACTTCCACTTTTGACTTCAAAATGTACCACAAAGCCAATATAATCGAGACAGTGTGATGCAGGTATAAGGACAGACAACAGGCTAGAGTTGAGGGTCTAGAATTAAACTCTCACATTTATAACTGACTGACTTTCAACAGGGTACCAAGACAACTCAATGGGGGGAAATAGTCTTTTCAACAAATTGTGCCAGACAACATGCCAGTGAATGAATTCGGATTATCACCTCACAACATGTTGCATGGTTGCCTAGGGCGGAGGAGGGGGCAGGGTTGAGGTGCTGCCAGTGGGCATGGGGTTTCCTTTTAGAGTGATAATAATGTTCTAATACTGATTATTAGATTGCTGAATCTAATCTAATACTGATTGCTGAATGATTCTTTGAGTATACTAAAAACCTTTGAGCTGTACACTTTAAATGAGTGAGTCATGATATGTGGTTATCTCAACAAAGTTGTGATAAAAATAAATGGGTAGATAAATAAATAATTCAACAGAGAGATGGGGAGGGATACAATCCAGTTTGAAGAGCTAAGGAGAGTGATGCAAGCCACAGCAGAATTCTATGAAGACCAGTTCCTGAGCAGGGATCACAAGTGCAATGCAGGTGTATGAAGGGCCTCAACAAAAAACAGAAACCCAGTTACAAGAATGGAAATGCCAGGTGGGAAGGGAACCCACAGGCACGCTGACTTGCTGCCAGTCTTCTGTAAGCTGTCCAGATCAAGGTCTGGATAGACCAAGGTCAGGATTGTCCAAATTGTCCCAGATTGCCCCTGGGGGTGCGATGAGACTCACAAGGGATGTCAAATGCCCTTCCTTGCTGTGAGTGGGCTGAGAAAATTGAGGGGCCCGGTCAGATCTCAAGCCTCTTAAACAAGAGTAGGAGATGGTGTGCTAGGCTGGGAGGCAAGGACAGCATGTCTGTCCTGTGTAGCAGGGTCACTGGCTTCCTGCCCTGGGCTCTGCTATGTGGATGCCAGTTGGCACACTCAGTGGGCACTAACTCAGAGCCACTTAGCCCTTCCTGTATGGTCAGGGGAGAGGCAAGGAGCTCTGAGGCTATTTAGTGTCTTGATGGTACAGCCCTCTGCTGGACCCAGCAAACTTAGAGTGAATCACCAGGTTTGGGCACTGGCCTGGATACCTGTAGCATCATCACAGACCCCTTCTGCCTGGAACACACTCCTGTTATCATCCTGTGCCTGTGTGGCCTTGGTTGACACCTCAGCCTGTCATCTCCAGTGACTCAGGCTGGATTCAGGGTCATAATCATGAGCAACCAGCAGCAGCACATCTTGAATGACACAGAAAATGATGTCACTGAAACACTCAAGCTGCAAACTAGTCTGGAAGAGGCGATTTAAAGTGAAAGAAAGAGAGAGAGAGAGAAGGAAGGAAGGAGGGAAGGAAGGAAGAGGAGGACATGTAAATACCCAGTGAGTGTGGGAGGCAAACTGAGCCCAATCCCTTGGGCCCTGAGGGAGAGCCCCACTCCTGGAGCAGGTCCTGGGAGCTCCCCTCTGCTCTATCCTTCCCCCATCTTCTACTTCTGCTGACACCCCCCCCCCACACACACAGAGGTGAGTGTCTTCACTCGGCCTACTCCAGAACCTAGGACCAGCCAAATCCTTACTACCAAGCACCAAACACAAAGTTCCTCATGAAATCCTCACAGATGAAGAAAACTGAGAACTCAGGAGGTTGATTAAGTTGTTTACAATCCACAGTCAGTAAGCAGGTGAGCCAGAACCACAACCTAAGCACATACCATACCAGGCCGGCCCTTAGTTGGTAAGCACTGGAGCTCTGACCCCCCCACCCCCCATGCAGGGGAAGCTCACCTGTGGTCACGGGTCCTCCAGAAATTTCCTCAGCCATAGCTTGTGCCTCTGACTTGCACTGTAGCCAGGGTGAGTGGGGAGGACATGGTGTGTATACAAGGCCTGGGGAGCTCAGTGGATCCCAAGTGGTACCAGTGATACCCTCAAGGTTAGGGGTGTCATTGTTAGGGGAGTCAAGGTTAGCCTCCTGCCACACAAAGCCATCTGTTGGTGTGGCACTGCAAGGGGAACTGGAAGGAGCCAGTGAGTTGAGTTTCTCAAGTCTCAGGAGGCTCTGCTCCAGGTTGGCAGGAGTGGTCACAGCAGAGCTTGTGGGCTGGCTCTAAGTGTTGGTAAGTCAGTGTGTAGTCTGTCTATGGCCACTGAGTGTAGATGGTAGAAGCGAAGCCATTCAAGAGAGTAAACCGAATACCTTAGAAAAAAACCAACCACAGGTGAACTAAGGCAGCTGCCGAGGGCTATTCCAGAAGACTGGTATTCACCTCACCTCCTAGTCTACCTGAGAGGTATGCAAGCAAAAGGGCAGCTCCTTAAACAGGGAGTGATCTAGTTTATCCTGCCAGACATAAGCAAGAGCTGCATGCGTCCCACGTACAGCTGATTCCAGGGAGAACTACTACTACTGTTTATCAGCCTAAATGGCAAGGCCCTACAGAGACTGGAAGAAATGATACCAAAGGGAAATGAACAAGAAGGTGGGGATGAAAGACTACTTCGTACATCTCTGATGCCAAGAAAGAAAAAGAGAGGGAACTGCCACCTTGGAACGGTGCTCCAGGCCTGGAGCTCCTCCCTGGCGGGGTGGGGAGGGGGTTGGGGGTGGGAGTAGGCCTTCCTGATGGGCCGAAATGGGCCAGGAAAACAGCACATTCCAAGCTCTGGGAGCAGTCCCAGGGGTTGCAGAGAAGCCATGGCACAGCTCTTGGTGACTGTCGGGAAGTGGGGAGGCAGCCACCAGAAGGTGTGGTGACTCCAGGAACGGTATTAATTCATTGATTCATCCAGGAAATTCCACACAGAGCCTACTTTCTAGCATGGGAATGACATGGGAAGCATCAACAGGCAAGTCACTCATTCTCATGAAGCTGATGATCTTACAAGGGAAACACATTAAATACTCACAGGCAGATGCACGCATGCTCAGAAATGGAGCTAATTCCTATGAAGGAAAGCAACAGTGTTGGAAAAACTAGTGTTCAAGCAAGGGATGTGGACCGTAGGCTCAGAGAAAGTATCTCTGATGTGGGGCAGGTACGGTGAGAGTGGACGAGAGCTTAAGTGCAGGAGCAGCCAGCACAGATGCAGTGGCCTTGCGTACAGGGAGCCTGGGGGGCGGGCTGTGTTCAAGGTGGCTGCAATGATCCCCCCTCCACACTCCTTTCTAATGTGGCTTTTTTTTGCTCCTCCCACCAAAGGATGGGATCTATCCTCTTGGATCTGGCCTAGGGTTGGACTTGCACTGATGAGTAGAATGCACTAGAAGCGATGTTTTGCCAGGCCTTAGGAGGGT